AGAGCTGATGGGACGGTGAGTGCTTGAACTGACATTATTTGTCTTCAGATACTCAATGCAAGCACTCAAGTCGCTGTCTGCCCTGGCTATGAGATCATAGGCCTCCGCGAAATCCACGGTGGTTAGGACGGACACACGCGACCTAAGGTCAGGTCGAAGTTTCTTCCTGAATTCCTCGATGCGATCGGTTGGGGTACTCACCAAGATTGGTGCAAACTTAGCAAGACTGGTAAACTTTTGACGATACTCGGGGAGTGTCATGTCTCCCTGTTGCAATTCGACAAATTCCTTACGTTTTTCTTCACTAAAACGTTTTGGAATATATTCTTGTTTGAATGCCCATTCGAAATGTGTCCATGTCCATGGCTTAGGGGTTCCTGCACTCTCATCAGACCTCTTCCACCACTCGTAGGCTTCCTTGCGAAGCAGCTGAGACGCCAGTCGGGGATAGTTGCCAATGGGTACGTTAAGATCCTCCAACACTCGAGCAGTCTGCTCGATCCAGTCCCACGCAATCTGGGGTTCACCGATGCGATCCCCAAGGAATAATTCTACACCGTTATCTCTTAGCGTTTTGTAGGTTATCACTCGAGGTGGCGGTGGTGGAGGTGGTTGAAACATTGGTGCGTTGACTATTTGTTGCAACACATTAGCTAGAAAAGCTGGAATCACAAGGTCGGGTTGACCACCAGCGTTTGGGTTATTCCCAACATTTTGTTGATTGACGGGTTCATTTTAGACGGGAGGGGTAAAACTAGATGCTTCAGTATGAACACTGACGTGTTCATTGTTTCCTTGTCCGTGGGCGGATTCTTGACTCATTCTACAATAACAGAAATTCCTTTATTAGGATTCTTTTATTCAGTAGTTGAGTTTAAGGCAGGAATTGCAAAGGGTTACAACAGTTGATACAATCAATGGATTTGAAACCAACAATAAGATAATTTTCTAAGCGTTTGCGTTTGATTGGTTGGATCGTGCCGAATCTACAGACGGGTCTTCCTTGCCCGACCCACATACACTACTGGCAGAGTCTAAGCTGAACGTCTCTTCTGGGTCATCTCGTTCCCATGCAGCCTTGCGGCGCAGATAAATCCTTCGTTTCATTATTCTTGCGAATCGATGTGCACGTTGGTAACGTATCAACGAGTCATAGACATTTTGTTCGTTCTTTCGTCTTTTACCAAGTACGAAAGTGCGACTTGAATCAACACTTGATATCATTTCTGAATTAACAGTTGACATCTATAAAAATTGATACAGTCAATTTCAATACTCATTTTTTCTATAAAATTTGATACAGTCGTGGATTTGATTGACATCATTTTTTTTTGGCCGAAATACATATATAATATTTAAAATATATTTTTTTTTATCCAAGTTTTGATCCGAAGATCGGGTTTAAAACCATTTGCTCCGATACCAAATTGTAACACCCTAATCCGTCTAGGTTTACAGCCCCTTCCGAACTAAAGTATTAACTTGGTAATCGTATAATTTAAAACATTTCAAATAACTTTATTCATCATAAATGAAATTCCAAACATAATTGTAGTAAATACGGAGTGTATAATGCGGAAGCGATTTTTTTAAAACATGACTCATAATAACATAATCATTTATTTCCTCAATAAATCCACCATGACTGTCTCGCCCCTTCCGCTGCCAAGAACATGCCATTCTCTCATTCTGTCTACCGGTGTGTAGCAAATAAAACATACTACACGCTCAGCGATGAAGCTGAGTAAGCATATCTAAAGCGTCGAACATCCACATAAATTGAATCTAAATTCACAAACAACCATTTGATATCATGCACACAATATATGGTTCAAACATTCATAATATTTTCAATATTTTATTCCAAGTCATTTGATATTCAATATATCAATAATGCTCTTAAATTATTCTTAATCTAAGGCCACATCATTTTATATTCAGCTCTTAGCTATTCCTAGTCTAAGGCAGTAATTCTAA